AAACCCTAAACCCTAAACCCTAAACCCTGAGGATCAAGTAACCTCAGGAGGGAATAGAAGAATGTCGCTTGTGGTTTGCTAGCCATACCGGTGGTTTATAGTTTAGGGTTTAGGGTTTAGGGTTTTATGTTAATAATAATTTGTATTTAGAGTGTATCGAAGGGTTTAGGGTTTAGGGTTTAGGGTTTAGGGTTTAGGGTTTGGGTGTATGTGGGGTGTATAAACACCTACCTCACTGCAACAACAGCAGCAACTCCCCCCTTACCTTTACTGTATATCTTTAGGGTTTAGGGTTTAGGGTTTAGGGTTTGTGTGTATGTGGGGTGTATAAAAACCTACCTGGCGGCAACAAGAGCAGCAACCCTCTCCTTATCTTTAGGGTTTAGGGTTTAGGGTTTAGGGTTTGTGTGTATGTGGTGTGTATAAACGCCTACCTGGCGGCAACAACAGCAGCAACCCTCTCCTAATCTTTAGGGTTTAGGGTTTAGGGTTTAGGTGTATATTCACATACCTGGCAGCAACAACAGCAGCAACCCTCTCCTAATCTTTAGTGTTTAGGGTTTAGGGTTTAGGGTTTAGGGTTTAGGTGTATATTCACATACCTGGCAGCAACAACAGCAGCAACACCCCCCAAAAGAAATAATGCTGCTTCTTGTATCGGCAGCAGCTCAAAAGAAAAAACAGCTAACCCCAAAAAAACAAAAGCTAAACATTCTGTTAGTAAAGCAAAAGAACCAAATACAGCTACACACACACACACACACACACANAAAAAAAAAAAAAAAAAAAAAAAAAAAAAAAAAAAAAAAAAAAAAAAAAAAAAAAAAAAAAAAATTTATTGGTGTTGCTACTGTGTGTATGTGTGTGTATGTGTGTGTTGTTATAAGAACAACCCCACCATATAACAACACACATAAAAACAATAACAACAACCCCACCATATAACAACACCCACACACAGCAAAGAACAACAACCCCACTTTATATAAAAAAACACAAACATAATTACAACAACCCCACCATATAACCACATACACACACTGCAACCACTCCACCTAATATAAACACACACAAACAAAACAACGCCTGTACAGGGGCCCCCAGAGGGGCCCCCAGAGCGGGCTGTAGAGGGGCCCCAAAGGGGCCCCCAGTTGAGCCTCCAGAGGGGGCCCCCCGAAGGGGGCCCCCTGTGGGGCCCCCAGTGGGCCCCCAGTGGGGCCCCCAGAGGGGCCCCCAGTGCAGCCCCCAGGGGGGGCCCCCAGAGGTGGCCCCTCACAGGGGCCCCCAGTGGGTCCCCCAGAGGTGCACCCACCGGGGCCCCCACAGGGGCCCCCAGGGGGGGCCCCCAGAGGGGGACCCCCGGGGGGTGGTTGGTTTGTACCTTTGGATGCCGTTTGTGCTGTGGTGGATAAATTAGCGAAGGCATATTTGCCCATAGAAATTCCGCAGAAGCAAATGGAGACGATCCCGCTCCCCCCGCAGCTCTGGGGTTCACATGTAAACCCTAAACCCTAAACCCTAAACCCTAAACCCTAAACCCTAAACCCTAAACCCTAAACCCTAAACCCTAAACCCTAAACACTGAATTGTAATGGGAAATCATAAGGAGAGGACGAAGGAATGCAACAAGATAGAGAAAACAAATCAACTGTGCAAGGGTTTCTGCTTCTGTTCTGTTGTGTTTTTCTAGGGTTTAGGGTTTAGGGTTTAGGGTTTCATGCTAGCACAAAGGGTTTAGGGTTTAGGGTTTAGGGTTTAGGGTTTAGGTTACATCTGCAATGAGATAAGAGAGCCAGGGAAAGAGCAGCAGCAGCGCCACCTCCAGCGCAACAGCGTCCTCGTCCCAGTCTATATATTTATACACCTAAACACCCCAAACCCTAAACCCTAAACCCTAAACCCTAAACCCTAAACCCTAAACCCTGGGCAACCGCCACAGCCGCAGGTCCTCAGCCTTCATGCTGCAGAGACCGAAGGCAGCAGCAGCATCAGCAGCAACAGCAGCAGCACCAACAGCAGCAGCAGCACCAACAGCAACAACAGCAGGACCAAGAGCAGCAGCAGGAGCACCAACAACAGCAACAACAGCGGCAACAGCAGCAGCAACAGCAGCAGCAGCAGCAGCAGCAGCAGGAGGAGCGTACAAGTGCAGCAGCAGCACCGGTGAGTAGCCCGAGAGCAGTGGAAGCAAGAAAGGTGCAGCAGAAGGAGACAGCAGCAGCAGCAAAAGTTTTTTTTGTGTCTTCGTCGGCGATGGCTCGATAGAGCACCAGCGTCACTGCGTCGTTAAGGAGACTCTCACCAAACACCTGCAACCAGCAGCAAACGCATGCACGCTGCAGCACGCATGCACCAGCAGCAGCAGCAGCAGCAGCAGCAACGGCAACAGCAGCAGCAGCAGCAGCAGCAGCAGCTGGTGCTGCTGCTGCGGCGGCTGCAGTTGGTGCTTCGGGTTCTTAGCCGTGAAAATACAAACACCAACAGAAACACTGCAGCAGCAGCAGCAGCAGCAGCAGCAGCAGCAGCAGCAGCATCTGACCGCTTCTGATAGGACGTCTCAGCAGCAGCAGCAGCATTTACAGCAGCAGCAGCAGCAGCAACAGCAGCAGCAGCAGCAGAATGAGCAGTATAAAGCATGCTTGAATCCCGTTCTCTGCATCCTTTCTTCTCGCTGCAGCTGACCCCCCCCGCCTCACTTTCCATATCTAGGGTTTAGGGTTTAGGGTTTAGGGTTTAGGGTTTAGGGTTTAGGGTTTACGAGGACATGCAGGAGCAGCTTCGCCCTCAAGTCCCTAAAAGCACTCAGCACCGCCACGGGGTCCGTCGATGATATAAGCGCCCCAACAGCAAACGCCTGCCGCGGAGACAGAGACACTCCACGCAGCAGCAAACCTGCAGCAGCAGCAGCAGCAGCAGCAACAGCAGCAGCAGCAGCAGCAGAAAGAGCAGTAGCAGCAGCAGCAGCAGCAGAAGGAGCAGCAGCAGCAGAAGCAGCAGGAGTACCCGCAGTGAGCATATTTGTTCCTATGAGTTTTGAGCGTTATCATCATCATCAGCAGCAGCACCACCACCACAACCACCGGCAGCAGCAGCAGCTGCAGCAGCAGCAGCAGCAGCAGCAGCAGCAGCAGCAGCAGCAGCAGGAGTACCTGCAGTGAGCATATGTGTGCCTACAAGCACCGCGCTGGTGAGTGTGGCGCCGACAGCAGCAGCAGCAGCACCACCCCACCACCAGAACCAGCAGCAGCAGCAGCACCACCACCACCCCCACCACCCCAACCAGCAGCAGCAGCAGCAGCAGCAGCAGCAGCAGCAGCAGCAGCAGTACCTGCAGTGAGCATATGTGTGCCTACAAGCACCGCGCTGGTGAGTGTGGCGCCAACAGCTAGCCAGAGGACGGCACCAAAATTTTCGGCGAAGACAAAACCAAACGGAGCGCTAGCCAGCTCTAAACCCCTACACACAAACCCTAAACCCTAAACCCTAAACCCTAAACCCTAAACCCTAAACCCTAAACACGAGACCCTTGACGCTAGACTCTAAACCCGAAACCCGACAGCCTACACCCTAAATATAAACCCTAAATATGAACATAATATAAATATCAATCCTATGTATAAACAATACAGTCTAAACCCTAAACCCTAAACCCTAAACCCTAAACCCTAAACACCAGACCCTAGACTCTAAACCCAAAACCCTTAACACGAGATACTACACCCCAAATGTACACCCTAAATATAAACCCTAAATATAAATCATATGTATAAACACTACAGTCTAAACCGTAAACCCTAAACCCTAACCCCTAAACCCTTAACGCTAAAACCTAAACTCTTGACCCTAGACTCTAAACCCTAAAGATAAACCCTACACACTAAACCCTAAATATAAACCCTATATACAAACCCTAAATATAAACCCTATATATAAACCCTAAATATACATCATCTATATAAACGCTAAATATAAACCCTAAATATGAACCCTAAACCCTAAATATAAACCCTAAACCCTAAATATAAACCCTAAATATAAACCCTAAACCCTAAATATAGACCATAAATATAAACCCTAAACCCTAAATATAAACCCTCAATATAAACCCTAAAATATAATATTACATATAATATCATAGAGCATAAACCCTAAACTGTAAATACAAGTAATATTATATATATTGATGGAGAGGGTTTAGGGTTTAGGGTTTAGGGTTTAGGGTTTAGGGTTTAGGGTTTATGTATGTACCCCTGAAAGACAATTGGCGGCAGCAGCAGCACAAAGAAAACCTCTTCCTTGAGAGCCATGATGCTGCGTAGGCTGCTGCTGCTGCTGCTGCTGCTGCTGCTGCTGCTGCTGCTGCGCTGCTGCAGCTTCTGCTGCTGCTGCAGCAACGCGCCCAGCAGCAGACCGAGAAGAGTAGCAACCAAAGGCACCTGCAGCACGAGCTGCTGCTGCTGCTGCATGCGTTTAGCAGCAAGAGATATAAAAAGACAAGCAGCAACAATCAGCAGCAGCAGCAGCAACCCCACCGACATCACCATCTCCTTCTCGCTGCTGCTGAGGTCATCCGCAGCCTCTCTCGCCCACTTCGTGCTGCTGCTGCTGCTGCTGCTGTTGCTGC